GTGCGTGGGCTCGGCCGGCGGCGCGGGCCGGCCCGGGCTCCTGCCGCGGGGAGGAACTGCAGAGGGTGCAGCAGCTTTCTCTAGGAGGGGATGGCTCCATCTTAAAAGTGAAGTAAAATAAAACACGGCATACCTCACCACTAGTTTGTTTGTTTGTTGGTTGGTTGGTTTATGATGTGTTTTGGGAAATGGAGCATCAAGCCAGAGTGCAAAGGTGACAGTTCTTGGCAACGTTATCTTTGCTTTTATGTCCTTTCAGGGGGAATAGTCCTACAGATAGTGAAGTATACGACATCCTGTATATGTATATAACAAACAGCTCCTCTGGGCTGTATGTTACACTGAGCTGCCTTCTTCACAATAGCAAGGGGAAGTGGGGCAACATTTATTGAAATTCAGTGTTAGCGGTGCTGCAGTGATGCTCATAGCGAAGCCAGGTTTGATCTCTGTTTTTTCCCTGTTTCCCAGGAGTTGAAAAGTAAAACAATCCACTGTTCTCTGAACCTGAGCTTATGACACGCATTCAACAAACCTTGGTCAAGTATTTTGGCACACGCCTGACTCTCCAAAAAGGAAGTCACGTGAATAACTCAAGTAGCACTAGTGACTGCAGCGGAATTGCTATTAGGAAAGTCACTGTGTTTTCACATTCAACACTGAATATTTCAAAAACAATCACTCTGGTCTTGATAAAATCTTCAACTGAAGTCCATTCATCTGGAAACTATGTAATGCCTAACTGAATAAAGGTCTTTAACTAAACATTTATTTACAGCAAAATGAGAGACTTAAAGGGAGAGCTAGAACTCAGTTACATTCCTATGGAGCTGTGCAGCCCTATTTTCAGGCTGTATGGTGATTTCTGTGGTTACCACTGTGGCTGTGCCCATTTTCAGGGAGCCACTGTGACAAACGCAGCATGCACTGAACTCATTCCCTATTTGGTATCTTTCTTCACAGTTTTCCTGGATAGGGTTAGGCCCATGCTGATTGCGTTACCAGTCTAGTTAAGCTGCTTTGAATGAAGTTACTTTGGTTGGAAAGGGTCTCCTTTTCTGTTGGCCCGCATCAGAGCTGTGACCCCAGCCTGCTAGAGCTGTTTGCTCAGAATCCCCAAATACAGACCAAGTTGTGTCAGTCAAACCCACTGTTTCTGTGAATATTCCTGTTTTTGCTTGGAATTGGGAGATTCACACAGTTTGCGCTGTTCTGGAAGCCTCTGCTGCTTTGTTGTTGTGGCAATATCCACACTAGCAGCATTTTGCTTCTGTATCCTTCCTTGCACTGACGAGGACTAGGCAAGAGCATTTACCCGAGGGGAATCGGAACACCTCCAAAAATTGTTCAAGTGAAACGTTTCCACTCGGTAGTTCAGTGAATACTTAGAATTAGATATAGTACAGTTCCTTATTGCTAACATCTAAAATATATGAATATTAGCATAGCATGATTTGCAAAAGTGCCTAGGAAACAGGTATTTGCAAAAGTGCCCATCAAAAACAGAGCTGCTGTATTTCTATTACATCAAATTGATGGGGGCACCAAAGTGAGCAAATGGATCCAAATATTAAACTCATTATTCTTCCAAACGTAGCGTTAAGGCAGACCATCTTGCAGACATGCACAATAAAGCACAATACTGCCATTGAAGGGCCTTACACATGGGTACTACATGCACATGTGCTCCACATGGAGCTTGAGCTGCACGTGGCAAATAAAGAGCTCAGCAAGGGCCTAACTGTTATATGTTACACCTAGATTTTGAGTTTTTTTTTTTTTAAGTGCATTTCAGGTAAGCTTACCTCTTAGGTATTATTATTTCATAGGTATATTATAGGCATATTGTTTTATATATATATATTCATTATTTTATAGAATAAAGTACATACGGAGCGCAGGGGCAGGGGAAAATAGTGCTTAGAGCCCTCCAGCCGTAGGATTTATTCAGTTTTACAAGACCGAGGATGATGTTAGAAGCAAATACATAAGAAAGGAACCTCCCCCCCCGCGCCCCGCGCTTGGACACGCACGTAGCTGGGGCTGCTCTGGGGGCAGCCCGCAGGTGACCCCCAGCGTGGCCGGCACAAACGCACCTCGCGTGCGGCCCTGTCTTCCCCCCATCAAACAAACACCCCCGAAGGGCGCTCGCGGCCCCCGGCGGCTCCGCAGGGCCCGGGGCGGGCTCGGAGCCCCCGGCGG